CATGACTTACATAGGTCAACACATATGATACACTTTTCCAAATATTCATGAGTTTTTCAAATATTTTGCATTCCTTTTGCCTCCAACTTTCACACAGACACACACACACACACACACACACACACACACACACAAACACACACACACACACACATATATATATATATATATATATATATATATATATATATATATATATATATATATATATATATATATATATATATATATATATATATATATATATATATATATATATATATATATATATATATATATGTATACCTCTTACATGAATGATTTAAAAAAGACGAAACCAGAAATATACAAAGAGTTTTCTTCATCTTCAACCTATGTTCTATGCATACACACAAACATATTACACATAATCATTTTTTGTTTGGGTGAAATCTAGAATTAGAGTTGATAACATCCAATTTAGATTGTTGAATTTTAAACTGGGTTGAGAATCTATGGGGGTTTCAATTAATAAAACCAAGCTAGGGTTTTCATTCAAGATCAATTGGTGATTTGAAGGTTTTGGACAAGATTACATAAGTTGAGTTTCGAAGAACGGTGAGTTCGGTCGAAGGAGTAACAGTAACCGAAGGATAATCTTGGTAAATCTTGGGTGACAATAATTTGCAATTTGGATTCGATTGAGTGAAAGCTTTGAAGGACGAGGTCTCTTGCAAATGAGTAGCGTGAGACAATGGATCAATTTCGCATTGTTGGGTGACTTGATCAAGCTCAAATCAAGGGAAGAGAAAGTGTTAGAATCAACATCAAATATAAGGTTTGTGGGTTTTTATTGCTACATTTATCTTATAAACAATTTTTTTGCAAATTAAGGTTAATTATATCAATTCCATTTGGAATTGAAGGGTAGACGTAGCCATAGCGAGGCTGATTGGTAAGCTGCCTAAACAAATTCGTGTGTACTCTCTATCTCTCCATCTCTCTGTATCTCTCTGTATCTCTCTCTCTCTCTCTCTCTCTCTCTCTCTCTCTCTCTCTCTCTCTCTCACACACACACACACACACACACACACACACACACACACACACACAAACACACACACGCACGCATACACAATCTCTCTCTCTCTCTCTCTCTCTCTCTCTCTCTCTCTCTCTCTTCACACACACACACACTCTCTCTCTCTCTCTATATATATATATATATATATATATATATATCTTTTACTTTTCATTTGCAAATTGGTGAATTCGTAGGTTGTGCGATCAATATGTTTTGTTAAAATTTTGTTGATAACATTTTGAAAATGGTTTTGTTATGTTGATTACAATCCATTGGATCGTAGTGGTTTTCTAATCAATAAAACCATAGAAAATTCTAAACGAAATTGATTGCGCACAAGGTGTTCAATAGTTTTCCTCAATTATGTTTTGTGTATTTGTCATTGGAAATATACTTCACTTTTTTATAACATTCAAGTGATTGTTGTTAAAAGTATATTGATCAATTTGCTATCATTATCATAACTTTATTTTATATATACATATCAGAGATTTTTGGCAGCGATTCAATTCAAACGATTCGATACGGGTCACTCCTGCTAGCCATTAAAAATATTCAAAATAGTTTATGTAAAGTTTTTTAACTTGGGATCTATTCACCACCCTCTAGATGAGTCACCTTTGTTTAACACTTTTGACCATTCATTGTTCATAATCACCAAGGATTCCTCTTTCACAGTTATTTTGGTTTATGTGGATTATGTGATCCATGCGGGCAATTCCCCTTATAAATTTGAAGTAATCAAGCAAATTTTGAATGACCAATTCAAAATCAAATATCTTTGCCAGATGAAATATTTCCTTAGTATTGAAGTTGCTTATTCAAAAGTAGGGATTAAAATATTCTAGAGAAAATATTGTCTTGACTTGATTTATGACACATGTATCCCTGGAGGCAAACCTATCAAGACACCCTTTCATCCCTCAACAAAGTTGCATCATGAATGGTAAAATATGTTTGAAGACATTGCTTGCTAGTTACTATAGAAGATTTATAGGAAAACTTATACATTTAACCACTAGAAGACCCGACACTGCATTTGTGAAACAACAATTAAACCAATTTCTCCATGCATCTAATAAGGTTCATTATGAAAATGCATGATCAAATACCTAAAGTTATCACCAGGTCGCGGTCTATTATTTATAAGAGATGATCAACTCCAGCTGCTTGGCTTCACTAATGCATATTGGGCTAGATTCATAGATACTCGCAGATGTACTAGTTGTTATTGTTTATTTCTTGGTTGCTCATTTATTTGGTGTAGAGCTAATAAACAACACACAATATCAAGAAGCTCCTCTAAAGAGGAATATTATGCTTTGTCTTTTTCTTCATGTGAACTTCAATGGTTGTTCAACTTACTTGAAAAATTAGATGTCAAAACAACAAAACTTCCAGCTTTTTATTGTGACAATCAAAGCGTCATACACATAGTAGCAAATATTGTTTTCCATTAGAGGACAAAACATCTTGAAATTGATTATCATTTTGTTCGTGAGAGGATTCAAATAAGAGTGTTTAAACTCTTACCATTCGATACCAAAGCTCAACTTGCTGACTTTTTCATAAAGCCTTTTCCACCTAAAATGTTCCAAAGTTTTATTTCCAAGCTCAACATGCTTGACATTTACCATGTTTATCTTACAGGGGGTTTTGAACTTATGCCTTACTCATCAAGTAACAATGCCTTACATAGCAAGTAACTGTATTGTGACCACCTGTAATTGATTACTTGAGTAGAAAGTCACTGATCCAAGTTGCTATGAGTAATTAGTGATGTTGTTAACTTATAATCATAGGATGGTAAGAATTTGTTATAAGTTAGTTTAAAAGCCTCTATGGCTATATATACTATAATGTAACTAACTTCTCATTCAATGCAAATTATTCTATCTCACTTACTATGTCTTCTTCTTCATCATGTTTTTATTCAATTCCATATGTAACTTGTTGAAGTTCATGAGTTGTTGCAAAAAAGAAAATAAAATGTTAGGTTTTAGGGAGAAACAATGTTGGGTTTCGGTTGATGAAGAGAGGGATCATGTGTTTTTCGCATGTCTTAAAGTCAAGCTGGTGTGGAAGAAGGTAGAAGAGTGGCTATGTATACCTTATATAGAATGGGTTGGGTGTTGTGATCATGTTATGACGTGGTTGCTAAGGTTGGTTGGTAGGTGTTGTCATTTGTCTGTTTGTTTGATTTGTTTCGTAACATGTTGGTGCATATGATGGGCTAGGAACCAAATATTGTTCAATGAAGATATTTGAAATCATGTAGATATTTTTCATAGAATCATGCTGCTTTCATGGAGATGAAAGGAACTTGCGGCCCATACGCCTATTAGATGTAATTACTGTGAATGGTACAAAATCCAATTATTTTTTTTTTGTAGAGTTTAAATTTTATTTGTTGAGAATGTAAATCGGTTGTAATTTGTTTGATGATTAGAATACCCCTAATACTATGATTAATATAAGTTTGCTTAACAAAAATAATGGAGGTGACAATAACTTTAATTACATTTCTTAGTTCTTACATGATTAGTATATGTTGTATGTGAAGTACAAAGTGTGTGTTTGATGCATTGATTTATAATGAATTGGTTATGTAAAATTGAGTCTAGCAAAACGAGAGTTAAATATAAAGTGGTTTATTTTTGGATAAATATATGTAGAACTGAGCTAAATAGTAAATTTTAATATAAAAATTAAATTTAAAATAATAAATTATAAATTATAATTTAAGACAAAATCAATTCTACTTTAAAAAGAGCTAAATAACTCAAAAATCATTTTCTCTCTTTCAAAAGCTAAATCAAACATGCACAACATGTACATTCAATTTCTTCTCTTTAGACTTTATTTATTTTTTGTAAAAATGTGAAATTATAAAATAAAAAATAAAAAATAAAGTCAAAAGAAAATTATAAATTTTGATACAAGTATTCCTAATTTATTTTTGCCATATATTATTAATTTACTTTTTATTTATGTAAACATTACTTTATATTGAAAGCTCCACTATTAAATTATATTTTAAAGTAAATTTAAAAAATATATATATTTTTGACGAAATATATTTTATATTTAAATCGTACAAAAATACACGCTAAATTTTTAGAAGTACAAAAACCATTCCCATTCAAAAGTTAAAATAATTTAAATAAATAAAAATAAGTTCAAATATATTTTTATAGATTTTTTCCTAAATAAGTTGATACTTTTACTTTGAAAATCAACACATTTAATTTATAAAATTTTCTGTAGTTGGTAATAAAATTAAAAAACATCCATATTTACTAATTTAAAATGACCATATTTTATCATTTCAAATATAATACTAGTTTGTATAAGAAATTTTCTAATATATTGACTAAAATATTTAATATAGCTATTTTACATTAATCTTATAATTTAGTCCTATATTTTAAATAAACAATGTATACTCTACATATTTTAAATAAACAAAATTAACATGCGATTAAGAGTTTCTCATTAAATTATATGATAATATTACACTTATTATATATTATACAAATAAAAATTACTCCATTATAAAAAATATAAAAAAAAAAACATTCAATAATTCAAATGTATTTGGTCCAATTATAAGGCAAAATACATTTGCCTTTTTGAAAATTTACGGGCAATATTTCATTATGGAAGGAGTAATAAATTGGTTCATTGAATTACATAATATTATTAAAGTAAAAAGAATATATAAAAAACATTTTATTAAATATGGTTTGATATTCAAAGAATGCATTAAAATTAAAGGCGCACAAGAGAAAAAATCATAAAAAAATATTAATCTCTATAAATTGAGTGAGGGGTGCACACATTTGTGACATCAATATTCTCCTAAGTCAATACTTTCTCTTCTGTGCTTTATATTTTATTTCTAAAATTTTAAAAATATTTTCCCTTTTTCTCTTTTTCCTTCTCTTGGAATCACAACATGAATTCTGAAAGAATGATTAAAGAAATGTATGTTGACAATTCAAATCATTCACTATACAATTCCAATTCTAGAACCAACAACAACGATTTTGGCAGTCATGCTCCTGGAATTAAGAAAGCGATGATGATGCTTGAAGTTCAATTTGGACGTTCAAATGCATCACCGATTAATAATAATCATATTAATGATGTCATCAACACCAATAAGATGACGATGATGAATGCTTATCCTAATCCGTATCATCATGGTCTCCATGCAGGTTCATCATCGCAATCTCGAGGATTGACATCTCAAAAGATTAATGTTGATGTTGCAGATGGTGATGATGTTGAGGTTGGTAACAAGAACAACATGAAGAGGAAGAAGGACAATATTGACGATGGTAGAATCCACAGTTTACCATTCAAGAAACATGGACCGTACACATGTTCAAAGTGTTATAAAGTATTGGATACATCCCAAAAATTTGCTAATCATGTAGCATCCGCTCACTATAAGCTTGAAAGTGAAGAAGAGAGAAAAAAGAGATACATGTCAAGGATTCGTAAGAGATCAAATCTTAAGATTCAAAAGCTTAATAATGGAACAACTACTTTAGTCCCGGTTGCCACTTCTTCTAATCGATTACATGCCTCTTTTTCTAATCGGTTCAATGTTGCAACTTCTTCTAATCAGTTTCATGCCTCTTCTTCTAATCGGTTCAATGTTGGCACTTCTTCTAATCATTTTCATGCCCCTTCTTCTAATCGGTTTAATGTCGGTACTTCTTCTAATCAGTTCCATTCCCCTTCTTCTAATCAGTTCAATGTTGGTACTTCTTCTAATCAGTTCCATGCCCCTTTTTCTAATCGATTCCATGCCTCTTCTTCTAATCGATTCAATGTTGCAACTTCTTCTAATCCGTTTCATGTATCTTCTTCTAATCGGTTCAATGTCGGTACTTCTTCTAATCAGTTCCATGCCCTTTCTTCTAATCGATTTCATTCCTCTTCTTCTAATCGATTCAATGTTGCAACTTCTTCTAATCAGTTCCATGTCTCTTCTTCTAATCGGTTTAATGTTGATACTTCTTCTAATCGGTTCAGTGTTTCTTCTATCAATGATGATGATGATAAGAGTCTGGTTGCTCTCCTTCCCCCTCAAGTGAAAGTCAAATTGGAGCCTAAAGATAATTAATATCTAATTTGCATGCTCAATTTGCATTGTTACATTTGTTTTCATCGTCTAAATAATTACTCTTTATTTGTTTGGTGCTTAGATATTTTAATTGTAACCTTTATTTTAGTTTTAATTTCATGTTTAATTAATTAATCTTATTTGTGCACTCTATTATCATTTTTGTGTGTAACAACATCAATTAAATAATTAACCATTCCTTTCAATTTTTTTCTGCCCTACGTTAATTTGAAAATATAGTCCTTTCAGTTAAATTTTATATGTGAGTTTTCACCGTTTATATTCACTTCACAACATATGACTTGCATTCGTAGCTTGTTTAATTTGGTTGAGTTACAACCTTCAATTGTGTTATTCTTTTTAAAATATATAACTTTTTTTAATGAAATTGAGTCATATTCTATTATTATTTTTAATTAAAATTTATTAATTTAATATAAAATAAATGTCATTTTAAGAAAAAGTAAATTGAATGAATTTATTACCAATGGAAAATATTAAATAAATTTTATTACATTAATTTAATAAATAAATTTACATTCTAAAATGTATTAAATTTTTTTAATAAAATACTATTATGTTATATAAAAAATATTTATCTTAAAATCTCAATATGTTTTGACTGACTTTATTACCAATTAAATATATTAAACAAAATTTATTAGATTAGTTTAATAAATAACTTTATATTCTAAAAAATATTTTAAAAAAATTAATAAAATTTTTAAAAAAATACTATAATGGTAGATAAAAAATATTTATCTTAAAACCACAATATATTTTATACTAACTCAGGAATCCACGACTAGCTTTGTATTTGATTCCATGTCTTAGAACTTCTTTTAAATGTTTTAAACGATTTAGTAATCTCACAATTGAAAGGAAAAAGAAACGAATAAAGAGAGTTATGAAATTACGTATTGAATTCATATGGATGTATTCAAAGAAAATTAGATTTGGCTAAAATTTTGTTGCAAGAGTATCAGCACAATAACTTTCTTCCCTAAAGATATGTTGGACCAGAATATTCTAATTCATGTCAATGTTGTCTTGGATTTTCCACATCAAAGCTCTACCCATGGGATTTATCTCCTTGATATTATCTATCACATTCACTAGACCTACGAAGTCGATATTTATTTCAATAGTTCTCGCACCTATTCTCTTTACAATAGCTAATCCTTCAAACACTCTCCATAATTCAACAACTATATCATGGCACAATTCTAAGTTCTTGGAAAATCCTGTTATTATTGAAACGCTCTTGCTAGGGTAAATATTTTATATCGTCTTCACAGGGATTAGTGTGATATCACCGTCGTTCCATAGTTAATAATGTTCTAAGGAGGAGTTTAAAAGGGTTTTCGATTGTGAAAAGAAACATTCGCTATAAAATGTAACAACGGTAAATGATTCAGAAAATAATGGATAATGAAACATGTCAGGATTAGATTTCATTAACCTTTTCATATGTTTTCAATCAATCTAGTATATGAACATCGTTATCAATCACTATAATCATGTATCACTCTTCAACACCACTTATGTCTAACCGATGTTGTGAGTTTTACTGTATTGTTTAATCGATGTTCTCTCAACCTATTAAGTAGTACAATAACATTAAGACTTGATACAAGAGAATATCAAACCCCAAATCTATATCTAGACTTTGGTCTTTGATATATGGTGTTCTTAGGTCAAGGCTTGAAAGATATTTCTCAATAGTAGTTCAAACCATAGAAGAAAACATGAAAACAAAGATACATTTATATTGATCAATACTAGTTCATATAACAAGGATACAAAGAAATACATACGAGTATGGTTAATTACATCTAATCCGGACACAGAGGATTTAGCTATACATCATCATGGTAGCTAGCTTCACAAGGAAGAAGAAAAGATGAATGAGCATCAATAATGATTTCCCGAAGTTTGATGCGAATCTAGCTCCGATTCTCCAAATTCTAGGTTTCTCTGAGTTTTTGGTGCATTTGGTGCCCAAAGTTGGTGCCTCACCCTCTCAAAATAAAGTGATTCCTGCTCATACATACTGGTGTATGTGGACCACTAAACATACCAGGCATAGGAGGTTTTTAATACTTCATTACATTTATTGATGATTTCAATAGATATGGTTATGTGTATTTAATAAAACACAAATTTGAGTCTTTTGAAAAGTTCAAGGAATTAAAGAATGAAGTACAAAATCAACTAGGTAAGAATACTAAAAATCTTTGATCAAATCGATGCAGTGAGTATTTAAGCCTAGAGTTTGATGACCATCTAAAAGAGTGCGGGATTCTATCCCACTCACTCTTCCTGGAACACCACAATGGAATGGTGTACCTGAAAGAAGAAATCAAACCTTGTTAGACATGGTCTGATCCATGATGAGTCACGTTGATCTTCCAAACTCCTTTTGGGGACATACACTAGTGAAAGCAGCTTACACACTTAACCGTGTTCCAAACTCCTTTTGGGGACATGCACTCCTTTAAATGAAAAGTTTCAACTAAGATTGAGCCCAAATCTGACAAATGCTTATTTGTGGGGCATCCTAAAGAAACAAGAGGGTATTACTTCTACAATCCTTCTAAGGGCAAAGTGTTTGTCGCTCGACCTGTAGTTTTCTTGGAAAAGGACTTTATTTCTAAAGGAATCAGTGGAGGAAAGTAAAGCTTCAATAAATTCAAGAATCACAAAGCATTGATACACCTATAGAGGAATTAAAGCAGGAATGTTTTCTCAAATAACTTAGATGAAAAGGGAATGGATGGTGTACACTTGCCCGCTCCTCGAATGATCGAATGATTAAACCATGTCATGTTGCTTGACTATTCGTCGTCCATCCAAAAAGACATCCAATAAATCAAACTCTTTTGTCGTTGTCGCGCGATATTTAAACTCTTTTTCAAACAAAAGATAATTCATCTCGAGACGATGCAAGACAATGTTTCATCCACAAATGTGTGATTTGAGATAAATGACGTTTTCCTGTGAATGTTGATATGCAAAAATCCATTCAATATGATGAAACACTCGCTCCTCTAAACTGTTTTGGGTAGCAAGAAATGTTTTTCCGTCGACTGAGATGAAATAGCTTTCTCTAAAATCGACCAACAAATAAATATTTTCTACTCAGAACTACGTAGCCTTGAGTTCTCCATCGCACCCGGAGATAAGTAGGAGCGAGATTCAAAGTCTTGTCAAGAAACCTAATAAAAAATAAACCCTTTAGTCATATCCTCTTTCCTTTTAATAACTTGATAAGCCTAACATTCGAAAGGTAACACTAATGCACATAACTAACTAAACGGTTCCTGTTGAATACAACGAACATGAAGGGTGCTAATACCATTCCCTTGCATAATCGACTCCCGAACCCTGATTTGGTTGTGACGACCATATCATTATCATTTTATATGGGTTTTATCGATATTTTCTCTTTCCCTTTTCGAGAATAAATAAATTTTAGTGACGACTCTGTTAGTCCATCATTTACGCGAGCGCGCGACGCGCCTCATGAGGTCGTATTTTTTCTGAGGTATGACAACATTCAGTCACACTATTCCCATCAAGATAACATATAACATAACATATATAGAATCAACAATAAATCAAATTAATTGTAGAGGTTTTGCACAAACATCATACAATTCACAAACCTCAACAATGAAGGACAACATAATCAAACATTGAAAACGGTGATGATCCTTCTCTATCCTTTATAAAAATCACACCCGTATATGAATAATCCCCTATTAGCTGAATTTGCAGAAAAGCTCCAAACATGACAATGGCAACTCTCTCTTCTAGCTCTAGCTGTCATAGGTGTCGTACCCCAAATTTTACCCTTAGATTCATTGATCCTTCGCATATCATTTAGGTCAACCATCCACCATAGCTAACCGTTCTAACCAGTTTGTTTGCTTTGTTTCGTGAAGTCAGGTTTGCCATAAAAGATTCAAGGCCTGATGTGTGTTCTAGTCCCCTGCAAGTCAAGTTTGAGCGGAATGAAATTAGTTTGATTATTGTAATCAGTTAGGGATGTTGTAATCACCTAGTTATTTTTCTTTATATTTTACGAAATTAGTATGTGTTGTGTGTTGTTAGTGTTGTTTTTTGTTAAGACCGTTGTACCAAAGACTCATCAATATATGAAAATATTTGGTTACAACAAATAAAACGATAAGCTAAATCATGATGCAGATGTTCCTCCGACGTTGGGACAATTTTTCGGTTGTGTTCGGGATGACGACATATACTGCACAATCTTATCATTTTATCAGCGGTATCCATTTCGGTTCTTATACGCTTGCTATTTGGGTGTTTCTTTTTCTTTCTTCTCATATCATCGTTGTGCCAAACTACATCACCTTGGTATGGAGGCCAATAATCCTCCATTGGTAGCACTGTGAAGCCTTCATTGTATATGTTCATAACATTAATCGCCCTTAAACATCAGATAGATAGCCATAAGCATCATGACAAGCACGTGCGCATGCTGCAATGACATGTGAGCAAGGTACACGGAAGGCCTGGTACTTGCCACAGTCACACCAACATTTGTTTAGTCTGACAACATAGGATAAATTGGACCTCTCCTTATTATGATCCATTATTTCTTGTACACTGAATGTTTGCCTATGACTGTCAAAGACTGTAACTGCATGTGTGCTGGCTCTGATAGTATCCTCTTTCATCAATTTCATTATATTTTCATTGAATACTTGACCCGACATTAACACTGCACTCCATCTTTCTCCTCTTGTTGCAAAAAGTGATGTCAACCTATAATATGTTGATCTCACCAAAGCGGTGATTGGAAGGTTTCTAATTCCCTTGAATACTTTGTTCATGGACTCCACAAGGTTTGTCGTCATGTGGCCCCAACGACATCCACCATCAAAAGCCCTTGTCCATTTTTCAAGTGGAATGTTATCCAACCAGCTTCTTGCATCTGCATTTGACATTCTAATTTCGTTAAGGTAGTATTG